GCTGATTTAGAGCAGCAAAATTATAAGGTGAAAGGACGTGCAAATATATAAGCATATTGGATAGGCCAAGCAAACTAAATTAGCAGAGTCTAGCCCAAATTTTCTCAAGTATCATACGGGTGTACGGTTATTACTGATTAATCATTTCCAACTTTTAAGCACATATTTACTAAATTTCATGAAATGATTCTAATTAAAGAGTGTTTAGCATCACCTGATATTAGCTTAAGCAATAAGCTTAAATAATGATGCTTCATACGTGTATGAATTGCCTGATGTGATGACAAGAAACTGTTAATCTAAATTCCATGGCGTTACTATAAAGGAAGCTATTAACACTATTTTAGTGAGGAAAAACTATACCATACATTTTAAATAATCTGATTGGTTCTGTAAAGTAAAGGTCTGTTCCGAATAACAGGGTTACGATCCTAAAGCTAATGTTGGTTAATATCGAATGTCACTTTCTTACTTCCTCTGGTTTGTGTATTGACAAAAAGTCATGATATCTAATCAAAAAACACATTAGATGTGAAAAAAAAAGATTAACCGTGCGACTTAAAGGAATGAAATCAAAATAGACGGCCAAACTGGTAGCTACACTTATAGCATTGATAAAAATTGAATCGTTTTGGTTGCACCTTTTTTTCATACCTAATGTGTTTCTGATTAGATCAATATTAGCCAGATATACAATCTAGTTCCAATCTTCTAACCCACTCTTACCAAAGTTCTAGTCCTAGGTTTCTTACTTACACTGACCAAATATTAAGTTCTAGCTCCAGGTTTCTTACTTACACTGACCAAATATTAAGTTCTAGTCCTAGGTTTCTTACTTACACTGACCAAAAATTAAGTTCTAGTCCTAGGTTTCTTACTTACACTGACCAAATATTAAGTTCTAGTCCTAGGTTTCTTACGTACACTGACCAAATATTAAGTTCTAGCTCCAGGTTTCTTACTTACACTGACCAAATATTAAGTTCTAGCTCCAGTCTTCTTACTTATACTGACTAAATATTAAGTTCTAGTTCTAGTCTTCACACCTATACTGACCAAATATTAAGTTCTAGCTCCAGGCTTCTTACTTACATTCACCAGATATTAAGTCCTAGTTCCAGTTTTCTTACTTACTCTGGCCAGATATTAAGTTCTAGCTGTAATCTTCTTACTTACACTGACCATATATTAAGTTCTAGCTCCAGTCTTTTTCTTACTTACTCTGCCCAGATATTAAGTTCTAACTCCAGTCTCTTTTCTTTTTTTACTTACTCTGCCCAGAAATTAAGTTTTAGCTCCAGTATTTTTCTTACTTACTCTGCCCAGATATTAAGTTCTAGCCCCAGTCTTTTTCTTACTTACTCTGCCCAGATATTAAGTTCTAACTCCAGTCTTTTTTTTACTTACTCTGCCCAGATATTAAGTTCTAACTCCGGTCTTTTTTGTTACTTACTCTGCCCAGATATTAAGTTCTAGCTCCAGTCTTTTTCTTACTTACACTAACCAGTTTCAAAGTGATAACAATAGTGTGTTAAATTTGTTTTCAAAAACTAGAAAGAACTTTGGATTCAAAATACTATAACTAAGGACTTTTGTTATAATGAATGCTATGGTGTATGCACTTGACACTTGTCCTATTTTCACCTAAATGTTGTTTGCCTTTTTAAATGAAAGCTGCGCAATAGGATATCTGTGTCGTGTTCGCTTCGGGGGGATCGAACCCTGAACTAAAATTTCATAGTCTCTCGAGTTATTACTGAGCTATATACCAAAGAAATTACCAAAAAAAAAGTAAAACTGCGTAAATTGATAATTCTTTAACAATTATAACTGTAATGAAATATAAAGTTAAATATACATTACATAGTATATTGACAGACCTTAGAGTTCAAGTAACTATAGAAAGCCAGTGACTATTAGCATATGAAACTAATATGTGTCCAACATAGATATATATAAATGGCTATTTAGAGAACTTCCCTTTCTAATCATAAACTAATTTCATATGAAATTATAATTGTTGAAATAGAAGGATGCGTTGAAGACTTAACTTTTTAATAGTAACATCAAATAACTAATTTTCTGTCATTTACAAAATATTGATAGTTACTAAACTTGAAATTGTGGACGTGACATCGATTATTTTATAGAATAACAAATTGCATAACAAGATTAAAGAAAAATTCGGAAATCTAGCGGATAACTATAGCTTCGAGCTATTTCAGTTCTCATTAGTCTGGCTGGATTAACGATAAAGAAGGTAATACACAAAGGTTTTATGTTGGTAATGATTTAGCTTGAACACATTCATATGTTTTCAGGTTATCCAACTTTCTAGCTACCTTCATCTCTTCACCTTGTTGTTGTACACATTTCATACCATCAATCAGAATAGGTTAATGTTAACCAGAATGTTGTGTGATATAATTTGTACCACCACGAAATAACTAAAACTCGGATAATGAAAATCCAGTCTTAAAAAGTTTGTTTTATGAAAGAGTAGAAACTTGTTAGTTCAAACAAAATCACATGAGAACGAAGATGTGGGAAATATATAGTACACTCCTCCTGAAAACGTAAAAATCAAAGAATAATACTCATTCAAAGAGATATACTGGTCATCTCTCGAAGCAGGTAGTGAAAGTCCTGGTCACGTAGAAATGCATCCTATGGCATATTGCACTTTAAAATGCTAATCTTACACGTGCGAGTCAGTTGGTGTCCACCTGTACGCCTTGAGGTGTGTGGAGTAACAGCCATCAATTGTACCTCAGCATAGGTACTCAAGAGAAATAGCCATTGGTACACTTAAGGATGCAATTGGAGTTTCCCAAAGAAGACACTGGGTGGTGGTCACCATAGGACTCAAGTCCGGCATCTGGCCATTACTTCTAAGTGTTCAAAGGTTTGTCACTATCTGAAGTCTCCTGGAATAACTTCAGTGGGTTAATGTTTGAAGAAAGCTAATCAGAAGAAGGTGGTGGATTACATATCGGAAGACAAACCATATACTGACCTTTGAACGTGAAGCACCGAATTCACCATATGGCTTTCGCATCTGAGAATGCGGAGTAGACAATGGGCCAGTGTCTAAGTACCTGTTCACACGGCAAGAGACAATGTGGTCTGTTGTATCACAAAAGGCCAATCTCACAGATCCTGGTCAGTTGGTAGTACTGTTGGACAATGGTTAGTAGATATTCGTGTTAAACTAAACTTAATTTAGGTTACGCCTCTACCACATTGGCCAATAGGCTATCAATTGTGGATGGTGATTGTTGGCACCAGTTTAATCAATATACTATCATGTGACTAGTGATGGTTAGCAGCAGCTTGCTTGGCTAATAGCCTATCATGTGATTGCTGATGGTTGGCACCAGCTTCCTTGGTCAATAGGCTATAATTTGGATGGTAATGGTTGGCACCGCCTTGCTTTGTCAATAGGTTATCATTGGAATGGTAATGGTTGGCACTAGCTTTCTTAGCCAATAGGCTGTCATTGTGGTAATGGTTGGCGCCAATTCGCTTGGTCAGTAGGCTGTCATTGGGGTTGGTGATGGTTGACAACAACTTCCTTGGCTAATAAGCTATTACTTGTGTTGGTAACAGTTGGTACCAAATTGCTTTTCCAATAGGCCATCACTTGTGTTGCCAATGGTTGACACCAACTTGCTTTTCCAATAGGCTATCATTGTGGTTGATTATGTTTGGCACTACGTTGGTTGAGCAATAGGCTATCATTTAGGTGGTAATGGTTGGCACCAACTTGCTTGGTCAATAGGCCACCCTTGGGGATGGTAAAGGTTAGCACTAGTTTGCTTGGTCAATAGACTATCATTGGGGTGGTGATTGTTTGCACCATCTTGCTTGGCCAATAGGCTGTCATTGAAGGGTGGTAATGGTTGGTACTATCTTGCTTGGCCAATTTTTTGCCATTGAGGGTTGGTAATGGTTGACATCAGCTTGCTGGGCTACAAGAGAGCATAAAATGACTATATATAAAAACAGGAACAAAATTTGATATCTTATTGTTAGAATCATTGAGGATAGCGTTAACCAGTTTTTCATTCTATTGACGATAATACCGTACTGGATAAAAATGGCTGTGAATAAGGTAGTACTTGAAACATGGACCAGTACACATTCCCATTTGATTCCTAAATTTAAATGACGTGCAGCAGACACCTGAACCACATCACATCCAGAAATTTCATATATTGTACTTCTAGAATGAAATACGCACATGTTCCCCTCCTCCCTTCAAAATGCAACAGAAACTATGACGTGTGTTCTAAGCTAGGAGGAGAGGAAGAGTACAGAAGGTAATTATAAAACCATTTTAACACAACTGTAGTTGAGATGAAGGTAATTATAAAACCATTGTAACACAACTGTAGTTGAGAGGAAGATATTTATAAAAACATTGTAACACAACTGTAGTTGAGAGGAAGGTATTTATAAAACCATTGTAACACAACTGTAGTTGAGAGGAAGGTATTTATAAAACCATTGTAACACAACTGCAGTTGAGAGGAAGAGTACAAAAGGTAATTATAAAACCAACTGTAGTTGTAAGAATTGGTGTTTATTAAGTAATCTTTGGCAACACTATTTAGACATAATCTTGGTTTTCAAATATCTTACGAGTTTCATTTATTAATCAAGGTTCAACAACTATATTTTATACACAATCTTGGTTTTTAAACTGTTCAAAAATTTATGTTACAAACCAATCTTCAAAAACCTTAATTTAGGTACAATCTTACTCTTAAACTACTTTACAGGTTTTATACGTTGACCAATCCTTGGCTGTTATTTTTATTACAGTTCCAGATCTCTTTGCGAGTTTCTTTATATATCGATTTGATAAGTTTCATTTAGCGGATGTATGTTACTGTAAGTAATAGATTCTAAGTTCTCTACTCACTTTGGTTGTATTAATGAAGACTGTTTAATCTCAATGATAAAGGTGAAAAAAAGTCATAAATACATTTTTTTTGTTCTTAGATCTAAATAGTTAACAGTTTATAAATCGTTTTGTGTATCTTCCTCTATTTTTATATTGTTTCAGATCGTAGTCAGGTTTATATTAAGATTCACTAGTGGCAGTGTTCTGTGATATGTACAGCAATATCTCTCATTCCTCCAAATAAGAAGAAACCAACACCAGCCCCAAGTGCAACAGAGATACAGAGCCACACATTGTACGTCATGAAAATAAGCATCAGGAAGTAGCTAATGACGAACTGGACAACGTGAAGCATGGTCTGGATTACGTGAGGTCTATGGGTCAGTCGGCTCCTGTTGATAGGAAACACGGATGAAACAATTTGGACCAGCACAGTAAGAAAGTTCATTGAAATAAGCTGATAGTAGGAACATATAAAACAATTTCTAATCAAGAACATAGACGGTAACTATTTATCCATTCTATAGCATATATTCCTAGAAGTAACGATTCTATACAATGTGATCACTATTGAACATATCAATATTGATGTCCAGAAACGTTAGTGACTAGCGTGATTTCTCCTACCAATATTTTTATGAAAAAATTTAGTAAATGAAAATATCTTTATATTTAATCAAAGAAAACTACGAAATACAGATAATATCTGGTTCTAAAACCAGAATAGTTAGAAAAATGATGAAATAGTATAGAGATCAGAAAGAAAACAGGTAGGAATTTCTTGGGCCACCGATTAAGTACGGGTAATTACATCCTGGTTGTTAAATAATTAATATAAAATAAGGACAGAAGAGTTTAAAGACAATTATTATGTCCTGGTTGATACACAATTAATATATAATATAATAGAAAAGTGTAGCGGTAGTTATTATGTCATGGTTGATATACAATTAATATAAGGTGAGAATAGAATAGTGTAGTGGTAGTTATTATGTCATGGTTGATATACAATTAATATAAGGTGAGAATAGAATAGCGTAGTGGTAGTTATTATGTCCTGGTTGATACGCAATTAATATAAGGTGAGAATCGCAGAGTGTAGTGGTAGTTATTATGTTATGGTTGATATACAATTAATATAAGGTAAGAATAGAATAGTGTAGTGGTAGTTATTATGTCATGGTTGATATAAAACTAATATAAGGTGAAAAAAGAATAGTGTAGTGGTAGTTATTATGTCATAGTTGATATACAATTAATATAAGGTGAGAATAGAATAGCGTAGTGGTAGTTATTATGTCCTGGTTGACACATAATTAATATATAATATAATAGAAAAGTGTAGTGGTAGTTATTATGTCGTGGTTGATATATAATGAATATAATGCAAAGACAGAAGAGTGTAGTGGTAGTTATTATGTCGTGGTTGATATACAATTAATATGAGGTAAGAATAGAAGAGTGTAATGGTAGTTATTATGTCATGGTTGATACACAATTAATATGAGGTAAGAATAGAAGAGTGTAGCGGTAGTTATTATGTCGTGGTTGATATATAATTAATATAATGCAAAGACAGAAGAATGTAGTGGTAGTTATTATGTCATGGTTGATACACAATTAATATAATGCAAGGACAGAAGAGTGTAGCGGTAGTTATTATGTCATGGTTGATACAATTAATATAATGCAAGGACAGAAGAGTGTAGCGGTAGTTATTATGTCATGGTTGATACACAATTAATACAGGGTAAGAACAAATAAGTGTACACGTGTGTTTCTTTTTGTCAGACTTGACTTTCTTTGTATTGTTTTAAGATTTGACTCGCTTGTATTGTTTACTGAAAGTTTGTTGAGAAATTTTACCTTGTTTTTGTTTTGTTTTTAAGTCTGTTGGCAACATAAGTTGTATTTACTGTGAGATAATTTTTCAAAACAATATATATATATATATATATATTGCTGTGAATCTTTAAAATGAATTATCACAACTCGATGTAACAAAATGTTCGTTCCTGGTTTATCTTCGTTTCTTTTGCAGGTAAAGATAAATTCAGTATAACTCACATGAGAGTTCTTTGTTCATTCAGATTTCCCTCATTAAGAGCTTCTTTCCTGAACAAGTAGTCTCGGAAGTACTTCAGCCCCTCATAAAATATAGCCAGAAGACAAACAAATATAGCTGACCCAATTAGCTCTGTAACAAAGGTAACATGTTACTGGTAATGAAGGTTCAATATCGAACATCATAACCACAATTAAAATTTAGATAATTATTTCGAAATACATAAAACTTTATTCCCAAAGCTTGAAAGAAAAACGACGATAAGCAGTATGATATTATAACAAACATGCTCATTTATGTGACAGCCAGGTATTCATTGTTTTATAAATATTTACTTTTATATTATGTAGAGTTTTTCTTCAAAAAACAATTATATCTAATGGGAATATTGCAATTTATTCATATCATCTTTCAGAGTGATTCATATATAAATACGTGGATAAAAAGTTTAAATGTGTATGTTTTATAGCAAAGCCACGTCGAGCTATTTGGTGTATCCACCAAGGGGAATCGAACCACGTTGTAAATCCGAAGACTTACTGCTGTCCCACCAAAAGACGGAAATTTAAAACACGCCACTTTAAAAGCTAACAGTGCATATCAACTAGAATTACTCACCACCTACGTTCTTCACGTGTTCTGTCACTTACAATTATTTACTCACCACCTACGTTCTTCACGTGTCTTGTCACTTACAATTATTTACTCACCACCTACGTTCTTCACGTGTCTTGTCACTTACAATTATTTACTCACCACCCACGTTCTTCACGTGTCTTGTCACTTACAATTATTTACTCACCACCTACGTTCTTCAGGTATCTTGTCACTTACAATTATTTACTCACCACCTACGTTCTTCAGGTATCTTGTCACTTACAATTATTTACTCACCACCTACGTTCTTCACGTGTCTTGTCACTTACAATTATTTACTCACCACTTACGTTCTTCAGGTATCTTGTCACTTACAATTATTTACTCACCATCTACGTTCTTCAGGTATCTTGTCACTTACAATTATTTACTCACCACCTACGTT